TAGGAAACAATGCAAGCCAGCGCACATTGTGTGCACCATCTCAACTCCCTGGGGAGCAATCTTCCTAAGCGGCTCATTGGCATTGAGAAGAACTTGTACATGAGGGGTCTTACCTTCTACAGGGTATTCATTTATACACCCGAGTATAAAGCATCAATAATTGTGGATAAATTGCCTTGATGAAGGTCAAAAAGGCAGTGGGAAAGGTTCGAACTCGGGATCCTATTATCAGAAAGCATGCGCTCTACCAATCTTGAAAAGCCACATGCACATGAATGTGCATATAGCGCGAATTCCTGTATATACTTGTACAGGAAGTCGGACAGATGACTCCCTTGATCGACGTTCATGATCACAAATAAAATACTAATCATATATATACAAATAATGTCCCCATAGCCCTGTCTAATCGTGGTTACTACAGTGTCCTCTTGTTTCGGAGTTGCAAAGTGCTTAAATAACGTAGGCATTGTAATAATTACTAAAGCCAATATCAGTTAACTATAATAACTATAATAAGTTATGATTAAAAGTTATATTTCGAGTTATATAGCGCCAATTTTGAATGATGGGCGCTTTACAATGATATTATTAGCCCGGTCATAGGAAACAATGCAAGCCAGCGCACATTGTGTGCACCATCTCAACTCCCTGGGGAGCAATCCTCCTAAGCGGCTCATGGGCATTGAGAAGATCTTGTACATGAGGGGTCTTACCTCCTACAGGGTATTCATTTATACACCCGAGTATAAAGCATCAATACTGTCTTGTGGATAAATTGCTTTGATGAAGGTCAAAAAGGCAGTGGGAAAGGTTCGAACTCGGGATCCTATTATCGGAAAGCATGCGCTCTACCAATCTTGAAAAGCCACATGCACATGAATGTGCATATAGCGCGAATTCCTGTATATACTTGTACAGGAAGTCGGACAGATGACCCCCTTGATCGACGTTCATGATCACAAATAAAATACTAATCATATATATACAAATAATGTCCCCATAGCCCTGTCTAATAGTGGTTACTACAGTGTCCTCTTGTTTCGGAGTTGCAAAGTACTTAAATAACGTAGGCATTGTAATAATTACTAAAGCCAGTATTAGTTAACTATAATAACTATAATAAGTTATAATTAAAAGTTATATTTCGAGTTATATAGCGCCAATTTTGAATGATGAGCGCTTTACAATGATATTATTAGCCCGGTCATAGGAAACAATGCAAGCCAGCGCACATTGTGTGCACCATCTCAACTCCCTGGGGAGCAATCCTCCTAAGCGGCTCATGGGCATTGAGAAGATCTTGTACATGAGGGGTCTTACCTCCTACAGGGTATTCATTTATACACCCGAGTATAAAGCATCTATAATTGTGGATAAATTGCTTTGATGAAGGTCAAAAAGGCAGTGGGAAAGGTTCGAACTCGGGATCCTATTATCGGAAAGCATGCGCTCTACCAATCTTGAAAAGCCACATGCACATGAATGTGCATATAGCGCGAATTCCTGTATATACTTGTACAGGAAGTCGGACAGATGACCCCCTTGATCGACGTTCATGATCACAAATAAAATACTAATCATATATATACAAATAATGTCCCCATAGCCCTGTCTAATCGTGGTTACTACAGTGTCCTCTTGTTTCGGAGTTGCAAAGTGCTTAAATAACGTAGGCATTGTAATAATTACTAAAGCCAATATCAGTTAACTATAATAACTATAATAAGTTATGATTAAAAGTTATATTTCGAGTTATATAGCGCCAATTTTGGATGATTAGCGCTTAACAATGATATTATTAGCCCGGTCATAGGAAACAATGCAAGCCAGCGCACATTGTGTGCACCATCTCAACTCCCTGGGGAGCAATCCTCCTAAGCGGCTCATGGGCATTGAGAAGATCTTGTACATGAGGGGTCTTACCTTCTACAGGGTATTCATTTATACACCCGAGTATAAAGCATCAATAATTGTGGATAAATTGCCTTGATGAAGGTCAAAAAGGCAGTGGGAAAGGTTCGAACTCGGGATCCTATTATCGGAAAGCATGCGCTCTACCAATCTTGAAAAGCCACATGCACATCATGAATGTGCATATAGCGCGAATTCCTGTATATATACTTGTACAGGAAGTCGGACAGATGACTCCCTTGATCGACGTTCATGATCACAAATAAATTATATATACAAATAATGTCCCCATAGCCCTGTCTTATCGTGGTTACTACAGTGTCCTCTTGTTTCGGAGTTGCAAAGTGCTTAAATAACGTAGGCATTGTAATAATTACTAAAGCCAATATCAGTTAACTATAATAACTATAATAAGTTATGATTAATAGTTATATTTCGAGTTATATAGCGCCAATTTTGGATGATTAGCGCTTTACAATGATATTATTAGCCCGGTCATAGGAAACAATGCAAGCCAGCGCACATTGTGTGCACCATCTCAACTCCCTGGGGAGCAATCCTCCTAAGCGGCTCATGGGCATTGAGAAGATCTTGTACATGAGGGGTCTTACCTCCTACAGGGTATTCATTTATACACCCGAGTATAAAGCATCAATAATTGTGGATAAATTGCTTTGATGAAGGTCAAAAAGGCAGTGGGAAAGGTTCGAACTCGGGATCCTATTATCGGAAAGCATGCGCTCTACCAATCTTGAAAAGCCACATGCACATGAATGTGCATATAGCGCGAATTCCTGTATATACTTGTACAGGAAGTCGGACAGAATGACCCCCTTGATCGACGTTCATGATCACAAATAAAATGCTAATCATATATATACAAATAATGTCCCCATAGCCCTGTCTAATAGTGGTTACTACAGTGTCCTCTTGTTTCGGAGTTGCAAAGTACTTAAATAACGTAGGCATTGTATTATTACTAAAGCCAATATTAGTTAACTATAATAACTATAATAAGTTATAATTAAAAGTTATATTTCTAGTTATATAGCGCCAATTTTGAATGATGAGCGCTTTACAATGATATTATTAACCCGGTCATAGGAAACAATGCAAGCCAGCGCACATTGTGTGCACCATCTCAACTCCCTGGGGAGCAATCCTCCTAAGCGGCTCATGGGCATTGAGAAGATCTTGTACATGAGGGGTCTTACCTCCTGCAGGGTATTCATTTATCGCCCGAGTATAAAGCATCAATACTTGTGGATAAATTGCTTTGATGAAGGTCAAAAAGGCAGTGGGAAAGGTTCGAACTCGGGATCCTATTATCAGAAAGCATGCGCTCTACCAATCTTGACAAGCCACATGCACATGAATGTGCATATAGCGCGAATTCCTGTATATACTTGTACAGGAAGTCGGACAGGTGACCCCCTTGATCGACGTTCATGATCACAAATAAAATACTATTCATATATATACAAATAATGTCCCCATAGCCCTGTCTAATCGTGGTTACTACAGTGTCCTCTTGTTTCGGAGTTGCAAAGTGCTTAAATAACGTAGGCATTGTAATAATTACTAAAGCCAATATCAGTTAACTATAATAACTACAATAAGTTATGATTAAAAGTTATATTTCGAGTTATATAGCGCCAATTTTGGATGATTAGCGCTTTACAATGATATTATTAGCCCGGTCATAGGAAACAATGCAAGCCAGCGCACATTGTGTGCACCATCTCAACTCCCTGGGGAGCAATCCTCCTAAGCGGCTCATGGGCATTGAGAAGATCTTGTACATGAGGGGTCTTACCTTCTACAGTGTATTCATTTATACACCCGAGTATAAAGCATCAATAATAATAAATTGCTTTGATGAAGGTCAAAAAGGCAGTGGGAAGGGTTGGAACTCGGGATCCTATTATCAGAAAGCATGCGCTCTACCAATCTTGACAAGCCACATGCACATGAATGTGCATATAGCGCAAAATCCTGAATATACTAGTACAGGAAGTCGGTCAGATGACCCCCTTGATCGACGTTCATGGTCACAAATGAAATAGTAATCATATATATACAAATATTTTCCCCATAGCCCTGTCTAATACTGGTTACAACAGTGCCCTCTTGTTTCGGAGTTGCATAGTGCTAAAATAACCTAGGCATTAATAACTAAAACCAATATTTGTTAACTATAATAAGTTATGATTAAAAGTTATGTTTCGATTTATATAGCGCCTAATATGGATGATACGTGCTTTACAATGATATTATTAGCCCGGTCATAGAAAACAACGCAAACCAGCACACATTGTGTGCACCATCTCAACTCCCTGGGGAGCAATCCTTCCAAGCGGCTCATGGGCATTGAGAAGATCGTTCACATAAAGGCTTTCACCTTCTACCGGTTCCCCATTTATACACCTGAGAGCAGCAATAATTATTGTAGCCTATCTGATATGCGTCGAGCTCTATGGCAAGTGCACTAATCGCGTTTAAGGAGACTGACATCGGCTGACGCTCGCGCCGATGTCAGTCTCCATAAACGCGATTAGCCACTATATGCCCTTTCAGCTAGAAACCCCCAATATCTCATATTTTCAGACATATTTATACATAGTTTTAATTTAATGCTCAATACGTATACGCATGATAATGTTGAATATATATAACAAGTTCCAATTGGTTTCACGAGGTTACGTCTCTAGCTAGTCTAGCCTAGCTGGAAAATGTGGGTCTTTGGGGGCATCTGGCGGCTACACCCCACCACTTAAAAAGTTTGGCACAGTCATTCGTTTGCCCTTCAGATATAAATAACAAGTTCCAATTCGTTTCACAAAGTTACCTTTTCAGCTAGCCTAGCTGGGAAAGGTCGGATCAACATCAACTTCATCCTCATCATGGTCACCATCTTCATCATCCTCACCATCACCATCATATTCTTCCTCATCACCACCACCATCTTCATCCTCATCATCATTGCATCACGGTCACCATCATCATTATCATCACCATCATAATCATCCTTCATATTTCATCATGCTGACATGTTAGTCATAATAAACCAAAGTAGAGAATATGAATGTGCTGAATTTAATATAAAAAGGTTTATTTTGTATGTTTACATGAACTAAAGTTTGATTTTCAAATACACGCATCAATGTTTATCTGGTTAGTTTACGAGTATGTAAGTACTAATAAGCCTATGATATTAACTCCATCCATGATAAAATGCCTTACTATGAGTTCTAGTGTTGGCGGAGGCATAACAACTGTGAACAAGAACGTTGTATGTTTAGCTAGATCATTGCAAAAAGCTGGACATTAAACATAATGATTGCTGAATATGTAAAGTTAGTCTTGCCCTATGTTGTATGAGTTTGTACTTTGTTGGTATTATATATTGACAAATGTATATCGAAAACACTGAAATATGGTTCACTAATTACAATTACCCGGTAAAGATTAAACTATGTGTTTGTACTACATTTTTATTCTGACATATTGAACATATATATATATATATATACAAACATTTTCAAGGAGTGATCAATTCAATTCAATACACATGCAGTACCAGGGTTGCCAACTTTGAGCCAAGAATGAGGCCTGAGGGAGCGAAGCAACATAGGGCTGGGGCAGAGCCAGATTGGGGGGGGGGGGGGGGGGGGGGGGGGGGGGGGGGAGGGGGAGGGTTTGGGAGGGGGTTATCTCCCTCCCACGGTAAGGAAGATTTTGCATATATACTTGACATGGTGCAATTTGGTGCACGACATGCCATACATGTGTCAAACGTGAAACAGGAGTTTTCAACAGGAACTGTTTTTATCTCCACAGGTCAATCACCAAATGAACTGCACACAGATTGTGATAGAACAATGGTGCAAGCAAATACTAAACAAAATAACTAGGACTCATAAAACTTATAGCTAATATGTAATTTTCATTGTCAATTTTCGAGAACTTGTTCGTGTCAAACCTGAAAGAAATGTTGTCCATACAATATCTTTATGTCAAAACTCCAACATTGTAGTAACATTATGCTAAATCAAATTAAACACATTTAATGGCTGCTGTGTATTTTGAGGAAGGGATGATATCTACACACACGTTTTTCATTTGTAGAATCCAAATAACAGGTGTTCGACCTGACATTTTATTTGAATATTGAATTCGTCCCCATCCATCTACGAGAAAATATTCAGACGATTTAAATGGTGGACATTCCCTTGAGAGGGGTAGTACAATTTTGGTAGAGCTAAGCTTTAGTTACCATAAAACAACAACACTACAATCTAATAGTTATTATTTCACCATGCTTGAAGGTTATAGAAAATTACGAAGACTATGGAAGAAAAAAAACCTGTCATCATTCAAAAAGAGCCATTGAAACACAAGAAGGCGCTCTAAAAAAAACATTGGTTTGAACCATTTTTCATACAAAGTTATGCTCGTGATGTTGTGTTGAAATAATGATGATATAAAGAAATCATCAACAACTATTTAAAAACCTCTTTTGAAAATGTTTGAAAAGTGTAAGCATTTTATTAATTTTTAGAAAAATCATCTTATAAATTTGGGGCCCAAATTTATTCAGACTGGAAATATTTTACATTTTACACTTGGTTTTCATTATCTCACAAACAAATTATTTTGTGTAGCACCCTCTTTACCAAAACTGAACTACCTCTTTAAGCGATAGGAATTTAAACAAAAAGTGACAATGCTTTCCATTTACTAAAACTTATGGAAAACATACATTTCAATAACATTCAATTTGGCCTTGATCATGTTGGTAATGGCTGTCTGTTAGGATCATTCACACCCCTGCTGTATGTACATGAATTATGTGGTGCTAGTGGCGACTAATCAAACGAAAGTCCACTCTACTGCTTTCCGCTTGAGGGAAACATCATTACTGGTTGTGCCATAGCAGGTTCTTTCATGGTTTCGAATAGATGGAATCCATTTGCATACCCACTTCAGTATTGATGTCCTTTCTCTGATGCATTGGGGTGATAAACTGTGTGGTAGACCCTATATCCATCGATACCTATATATAATTATATATATAGGACAAAAGAAAGAAAATGGGCATATCAGTGGCAATTATCAATGCATAAAGATAATAAAAATGGTTGGGACTAATATTCCAATTTGTCTTTTAGACGAAAAGGATTGACCCTGATAAGCACTCTATCAACAACAAAAACATATATGCAAACTGGGAAAGGTAAGGCCGATATTAATTTAATCCTAAGAATCGTAAGGGGTTGAGGAGCAAGAGATCATCTTCAGTTGAAAATGATGACTCCGCTATCAAGCCAAAATTAACATGCACTAAATTAATCTGTAAACTCGACTTTGATGGTAATTCATCAACCAGATCCTGAGAAATCACAATTTCAAGCTATTTTAGAATGATTCCTGTGACCTTGACCTTTGACCTCATAACCCCAAGATTGTACCACTACATTGGCTTCATAAAATTCAGGTACCAGGTGTGATTAAAATCTGACATTCATTTCTTGAGTTTTTACAATTAAAGGCCATTTCGCATCTATAAATTCTGTGACCTTGAACTTTTACCTCATGACCCCAAAATGGTACGGCTACATAAGTCCTCTAAGATACATTCAGGTACCAAGTTTGATTGAAATCTGATATTTAGTTCTTGAGATTTTGCCATTATAAACAGTTTTAGCATGTATTTATAATATACCGGCAGTCATATGACCTTGATCTTTTAGACTCGTGTCCCCAAAAACTGACCAAATATTTTCCCCTTAAGAGACATACAGGTACAAAACTTGATGCTATTTTGTCTAAATAATGTGATCACAGTAAAACAATATGTTTGTAAATATATATAAGCCCTGTGACATTTTATCTAAAGGCCTCCAAAATCCAAAAGATACACATATTACTGGTAATATGTGTCAACTGGTTCTTATGATATTGTACACCTTAGCAGTTATCATAAAGCCTTGTGACCTTTTATTCCATGATCCGAATATCAATCATATCATTGTCACCCACAATGTGGAAACATACCAAGTTACAAATTGATCCATCAACAGGTGCTCTAAGATATCACAAGACTCTTCATGGGACAAAATCTCTCAAGGGTCCCGACACATGTGTTGAGATATATCTGGCAAAATCTTACCCAGCATTAAAGGATGTTTCACAGCCTCTTCACATTGACATGCATCCTGATGCTAAGCTGGTCTAAGTGCTGGTCTAGTATGTGGTTGTTCAAACTGCCTCTCGATCAAATGCTGCACAGGTATGGTACTGTAGTAAACAAATACATATAAGAAGACAATAATACAAAAATAACAAAACATACACAAAATGGCGTTCTGCATTTATGCATTGCTATCATAAACATATATTTCCTCTAAGCTATCAAGAAGTATAGGTGAGTTGTATAAAATTAAAAAACTTTTTACATCTCAAGATATTGTTTTATATTTATAACACGATTATATTAACACATTTAAATTATTGCAATGAAATATGGGGAAATACATACAAAGCTCATAAAAAATGATTCTTGCTCCAGAAACGTGCCATACGTATAATATCAAACAGTAAATTTGATACCCACTCACTTCCCCTTTTTGTAAAGTTAAAAACTCTTTCCTTGTTTCATCTGGTAAAACTAAATATATTAATTGTTATGTTTAAATTTCATAGGGGTATCCTCCCTGAAGTATTTGATAATATGTTTAAGACTAATATTTTTTTCATACATATCCCACAAATCAATCTGTCATCAACTCATCGTCAGCTCAATCGGTAAGGACAGCGTGTTACTAATAGGACCTTGGATTTGACGTGAGGGTTCGAATCTCAGTTTATTCAGTTTTTTGCCTTTATAAATAGTGGGGCAAAGCATTAAATAATCGAAGTCCAATTTTTACTTATGACCTCTTTTTATGTATGAAAATGAGTTCATACTGGAATCAGGGCTCGCTAGGGTACGAAAAAATAAGACCCGGCCTGAAACGACCTAGCCGATTGGCCTTCCTAACATCACAATTAAAGAATATGCTGAAAATGATGACATTCTGGGAGAAACAAATCACTGTGTATGGCACCAAGTGATGTGAGGATGATAAGATGCATTTCAGTGTTTTCACAAAATCAAGGAGGGGTACAATTTTTGAAAATCTTACCCTGCATTTGGAGAGGTTTCACAGCCTCTTCACATTGGCATGCATCTTGATGCTAAGCTGGTCTAAGTGCTGGTCTAGTATGTGGTTGTTCAAACAGCCTCTCGATCAAATGCTGCACAGGTTTGTTACTGTAGTAAAGAAATAAGAAGACATTTATACATAATAACACAAAAATATATACACAAAATGGCATTCTGCATTCATTGCTATCATAATATGAGCACTGGTTTCTCTTACAGCACGGAAAGATCAAGAAGTTAATTTGACACATGTTCATTGGCTATTACACTGAATTTTAGTTTTTCTAGAAGAATTAATCAAGTGTAACCATGTGTCAAATAAACCGTATACACGTCATACAGTAATTTGTTGTAAAATCTGACACAAATTATTGCTGTATTAACCAGGAAAGCAGAGTTCTTTTTCAATCAAACTTTCACACATCATACGGACATATCTAACAATAGGTGAATAGGTGAATAGGTGAACAGTTCATACTGGAATCTGGGCTCGCTGGGGTACGAAAAAATAATACGCGGCCTGGAAAGTCCTAGTCGATCGGCCTTCCTAACATCACAATAAAAGAATTTGCTGAAGACGATGACATTCTGGGAGAAACGAGTCACTGTGTATGGCACCAAGTGATGTGAGGATGATAAGATGCATTTCAGTGTTTTCACAAAATCAAGGAGGGGTACAATTTTTGAAAATCTTACCCTGCATTTGGAGTGGTTTCACAGCCTCTTCACATTGACATGCATCCTGATGCTAAGCTGGTCGAAGTGCTGGTCTAGTATGTGGTTGTTCAAACAGCCTCTCGATCAAATGCTGCACAGGTTTGTAATACTGTAGTAATCAAATAAGAAGACATACATAATAACAAAAAAATATAATACACAAAATGGCATTCTGCATTCATTGCTATCTTAATATGAGCACTGGTTTCTCTTACAGTACAGAAAGATCAAGATGTTAATTTGACACATGTTCATTGGCTATTACAATGCTGTCTTTCTATTTCAATTTAGTTTTTCGAGAAGAATTAATCATGTGTACCATGTGTCAAATAAACCGCATACACGTCATACAGTAATTTGTTGTAAAATCTGACACAAATTATTGCTGTTTTAACCAGGAAAGCAGAGTTCTTTTTCAATGAAACTTTCATACATCATTCGGACATATCTAACAATGATTTTGGCATGGGATGAAAGACTCAAATGTCATTTTGGGCGATACCTGACAATTTCCAGGTGCACCTGTAAGGGTAGCACACCACTTGAGTCAAATCTTGTCAGTATACCAGGTCTCTACTTTTAACGGAAACACCACCCGTAATCGATAATCTTACAAATGAGTTTTAGTAGTCCAGTCCATTCCACTAATAAGTTCAGAAAAAACAGTTTCCAGACTAATTGTATAATTTGAATACCCATTACAATACTACAGTAATCGTTCATGGGTCTGCAGATAGAGACTAGTCCATTGTCTAGGATGTACGCATCTACCATGCTTTGAATGTATGCAGGTAAGAATTGGCGCACACACAATGTACGTTTACTTTGGGCGCTTGCCTTTACCAAACTCTCTAGCCTTAGCTTGGCAAAGGGGTACGTGTTTCTCAAAAATGGGCCATTTTAGCTTTTTTCCATTCCCAGGGTTTTCAAGGTCCAAATTGTAATTAAGCAAACTCCCGTATAAGCTTAGATTTAGGTTTCCGAGATATCAGGGGCCATATACACCCAATTACATAATTTGTATAGTACTACTGTATGGTACTGTAGATCTATATATCCACGTCCATGGAATTGTTATAACTTAAGCGATTTACATGTTGTGTTGGGACGTATGGGATGCTGGCCTGGATCAACCTTACCTTAAAGGGCAATGAAACTGTGGCTTTCGGTTATTATTATTATTATTATTATTGTTTAGAGGGTGAACAGACATTTGATTTAATACATAACTTGGTAATTGTGGCCTCCTGGATCCAATAAATCCTTACGTGAACATAGCAACATAACCACATTTTACTAATTCTTATGGCGGCAAAAGATGATGGGAGTGGCCATGTTCTTGTAAATTACCTGACATGCTTTGCAAACTCTGACGTACATGTACTGTATGTGCCAATGGTCGAACAAAAAGCTTTTCACTGATTTCAAAGCGTCTACAAGTATTCAGATTTCAGACGATGGTTTCTTAAAGCATGTACATTGTAGTTGTACAGTGTCAGCCAAGCCCAAGGCCAAATTTTGTAATCAATTGCATGATGCGCAAAATCAGGTCTACAGTACAGGGGGGGGGGGGCATGCACTCAGTCATAGATCCAGACCTAATGTAATAGTATAAGACGGGTATGTGCTACTACTGCCTGCTAGTGCAGTTAACCTTTTAGTTCTACAACCATGCGCGTAGCCAGGGGGGCAGTCGCCCCAAAACGCCGGCCAAAAAAAAAAGAAAAAGAGAAAAAAAGAAGAAAGGAAGTGGACGTAGACTAGGAAGAAAAAGGATTAATAAGAGTCGAGAACGGTACAACAAATCGTGTTCTTTCTTTAATAATCTAATTAAAAACGTCAAAGCTTCCGCGCTATGCGCAGAGGAAGGGGAGCTTGATTCAAACAAGGATTAAGAGTTGAGGACGGTACAACCAATCTTCTTCTTTCTCTAAAAGTCTAATGAAACGTCAAAAGAAACTGAATTTAGATAAGGATTAAGAGTCGAGTACGGTCCAACGAATCGTCTTCTTTCTCTAATAATTTAATGAAACGTCAAAGCTGCACCCACCCCCTAGGGAGCCGCTACGCGCGCTCTGTGTTTCGCAGGCTTCGCGTGCTCACTAAAATTAGATCCTGGCTACGCGCTTGTCTACAACGGCTAGTGCAACACGCCGGTAACTGCAAGTTTAGCTAGACTAGATCTAGAGAGTAGTAGTACTAGTAGTACTAGATGGATCTAGATCTAGTCTAGTATTGTTTAGTAGTCTAGTATTGTTTAGTAGTCTATTCCTGTTTTCGACGCCTTTGGCGTCGGCATCGGAGCTTCCTGGCCATGGAGTTCTATAAAGAATTTAAAGTTAGATCGACAAATCTATCGCTTTCATATGGCCCCTCTTTCATATTTACTGCAGCAGCAGTCTTTCAGTTTGGCCGTTTCTAAATCTAATTCACCACAAAAAAAACACTAAAATAATAATATTAATAACTCATAAGACTAAGAGCCAAAAGCAAAGGCAAAGGAAAAGAGGCCATGCATTGTTAACAATACTAGATTTGTAGGCCTAGACTCGAGTCTAGTTCTAATTTATCCTCCTAGACGTCTAGTCTATGATTAAACTAACAACACAGCCGGTAAAGTACATACCAGCCTTCGTCCAGCTCGTCGAGTAAGCTGCCTCGACATCCACGTCGACAGCAATCATGTCGATCCTGCAAAAATGTGCATGCATTCACGTCACCGTTTGGCGTCCAGTCTAGTAGTAGCTAGAGCTAGCTACCCTCACGGGCCGCGAGTCGACCAGCAAGGAGGCGCGCATCGCAGTCGGATATCCTGGTCGCTCGATCAGGCGAAAATCAATACTGTACGAAAATGTTAGAGTTTTCCTAACCCTAGCTAGCTAGCCCTATGGCCTAGGCAGCTAACCCTAGATTGTTCACATTTCAACGCAAGTTGGCGCTTTTTGCCTTTGAAATCGAGAGTCCGTCATGATCTTTGGGAAGATCAATACTATTTTGTAAACTTTATTTAAAAACAGGAAAATGCGTTTCCAGTAAAATTTCCAGCGGATTTAAATCACAATTTACTCCTGCTAACTTGGTTTAAAAGGGCAATCAATAAATCCAAGAATTGGAGCCGTCAGAAAGGGATTGTGTTACGGGGACATATACGAGTCCCCGTAACGCGGCAAGTCCCCGTAGCACGGGGATATACCGACAGAATGTCCGCGTAGCACTAGTTTTACATAAATACGTAATACATACATATATATGAAATTATATGTAATCTATCCTGTGTTTATGACCAGATTGTTCATGTGTATCACAATTAATTTTTGACATCATGATTGAAATTCAGATGACGAGCATCGCCGTTTCTTTGCTCTAGTTTAGACAACAGAGGCTCTTTCACATATTCGTATCTTTCCGTTGCGTTAAACAACACGAATTAAAGAAAACGTGAACACAAACATGGGTCTGGAGGATTGAGATCATAACTTTCAAATTAAGGTTGTATTTCAAGATAATTTGCCCTAAAATCAAACTTAATAATAAAGAGCCATAATTCTTTGCATCATATCACGTTGTCATACCTTTCGAATTAGATTAGATATTTAGACATGCTAAATATTATGCATTTTGTATTTCAAGAGAATTTGCCTAAAAATCATTCTAAATGATTAAGAGTCATAAAACATCACGTTAGGAGAAAATGATTCAATTTCTAATCATTTCATAATTCTATAGTCACCTGACACTGGACTGATATCATTCATTGTCTGATGTGATGGTTAGTTGAATATATAGAGCAGGCGCGTACGCAGGGGGGGGGTTTGGGGGGTTAAACCCCCCCCCTTTGGAAATTTTTTGTGTGTAAACCTCCCTAAAAAAAACCTAAAACCCCCCCCCCCCCCCCCCCCCCTTTTGGATTTTTTTTTTTTTTTTTTTTTTTTTTTTTTTTTTAATTATTAAAAAAAAAAAAAAAAAAAAAAAAATTATTCCCATGGCCGACCTAAAAAAGGTGACCTTACCCCCCCCCCCCCCCAACGGAGCAAAATGTCAAATTTCCAAATTTCGAGACAAAAAAAAAAAAAAAAGTGTCCTCTTACCTTTTTTTTTTTTTTTTAATTATTAAAAAAAAAAAAAAAAAAAAAAAAAATTATTCCCATGGCCGACCTAAAAAAGGTGACCTTACCCCCCCCCCCCCCCCAACGGAGCAAAAAAAAGTGTCCTCTTACCTTTTTTTTTTTTTTTTAATTATTAAAAAAAAAAAAAAAAAAAAAAAAATTATTCCCATGGCCGACCTAAAAAAGGTGACCTTACCCCCCCCCCCCCAACGGAGCAAAATGTCAAATTTCCAAATTTCGAGACAAAAAAAAAAAAAAAAAGTGTCCTCTTACCTTTTTTTTTTTTTTTTAATTATTAAAAAAAAAAAAAAAAAAAAAAAAAATTATTCCCATGGCCGACCTAAAAAAGGTGACCTTACCCCCCCCCCCCCCCCCCCCCCCCCCAACGGAGCAAAAAAAAGTGTCCTCTTACCTTTTTTTTTTTTTTTTAATTATTAAAAAAAAAAAAAAAAAAAAAAAATTATTCCCATGGCCGACCTAAAAAAGGTGACCTTACCCCCCCCCCCCCCAACGGAGCAAAATGTCAAATTTCCAAATTTCGAGACCAAAAAAAAGAAAAAAAGTGTCCTCTTACCCCCCCCCCCCCCCCCCCCCCCCCCCCCCCCCCCCCCCCCCCCCCCCCCCGCTTATTCAGCGGCTGGCTGAGTCGTTGCGAAATTTTCGGACCGATTTATAAATGTTAAAACCCCCCCCTTGAAAAAATCCTGCGTACGCGCCTGATATAGAGTCTATCAGGAGTGCAGTAGGCAATCTCCCCTGATGGAAACTCACGCAGATAATACCAGTTTCTCTTAGGCTTCTCAATCTTGTAATCAGAGATGAGAGTCTGGATGTGTTTGAGCTCGCTGGTGTACTCATTGATTCTAACCAACCCATCATTATGCTTGACCCGAGCGATCAGGATTGAATTATTCTGAGTCACAGCAACGTTTGCAATAGAGTTTGATTTTTCTACCTTGTGTTTTACATTGCCATCCATGTCAATTATTCTTACTCTAAAAGCACATCCGATGATCAACACGTCATTATAACTAATCATCTGCTCAGGTTGATTCCCATTGCATGGTATCTTCTTGATCGCCTTCCCACCTGCTGGTGAGAACACCTGAATCTTCTTGGCTTTCCTGTACCCGACATAGATCAGATCATTACTGTCTACAGTGAGACTACCAGTTCCACCTTCATCTTTACTAAGAGTAACAAATATTAGATCCAGCTTTTCATACTCCTTTGTGTACATTGTGAGGCGATGTGTGTCATTAATAAAAGCGACACACCGACCATCATACAGGAATCCTACTTCGCCGATCCCGACATCCTTAATAACTGTCCTCTGTAACTGACCGTCAGCAGAGAAGATATCGATTCCTCTCGTGCTGTATCCCACTACAATCATACCATCGGGCATATAGCAGCCATGCTGTTCATGTTACCTTTCTCTGAGAGTTCTACATCACCTCACATTTCATGAACCTCACCTGACCAATGTTCAACTGATCATACTGATTGTTAGGTGTGAACATCAGTTGCTCTGCAAGATCAGCTACATCCGTAGCAGGCTTCTTATCTGGATCATCCTTATCTAGTACATTCTTCAGCTCACCAGACAATGTATCACGAATAACAATGGTATTGTGTTCTATTGGAGCTTTTATGCTTTTACCCGCTAACACACTCGCACTCTCAAGGCTTGTAATCAACCTCTCATCAACATCTTTCATCTCATCCAATGTTTGTAATAATTTCACTTCCTGAGTTTTCAACTGCTTGTCTAACGCTGCTTTCCTTGTGTTTAATTTCTTGAGTGAATCTTCATAAATCTTGTCGATTTCTGCTTTTTTCTCGGCAAAGTGAATCGTGACGCGCTCATTCTGTTTCTTGATGCAGGTCACGTGGTTCTTGATGGTTGTAGCTTTCGTCTCACCTCGGGCTTGTAGAGATAAAACATGTGTCTCGGTAGAAGCATTATATTCCTCAGTATTCTGGACTGTGTGGCCATGTTTCTCATGTCTCAGCAACCTACATCTCAAGCAGATGAACTTCTTACAGGTTATACACACATCACTACATTTTTGGTTTTGTTTATCTGCTTTGTGTTCTTGGCAGTAAACCTCTTTTTCGAGGACCACCCGTCCCTCTCTCACGTCGTCTAATCTCACAACTGTATGCTTGGCAAGAGGCGGCCATTTTTTGTGAATCTCAAGGCATGTGTTACACATGTTCTTACCACACTCATAACAGAAATGTACAGCTCTCGAGCTTGAGTCGCACATTTCACAGACTTGCTGCCTATTTATCACATCATCAATGAGAGACTTAAGAGAAACATTAGTATTTAGATTCAAGACATTGCCACCCTTTACAGATGTCTCGCTTCGACACATAGGACATGTTAGAGAATTTTGTGAAGAGCTTATCAGAATATCATTTAGGCACTTATTACAAAAAGTATGTGTGCAAGATAACTGCTTTGGGTCACTAAGCAGCTCGTGACAAACAGGGCAATGCAAATTGGGTTCAAATTCCGACATTATGATTCTCCCATGTAAATATGAACTGATATGATACAAAACGCAAAGAACAACAGATAAACCGGGCTAAAATTATCGGGATAGGACGGGGGATCATATTGTTAAGTATTTCAACCAACGGTCTTATCGGAAGTCACTAAGAAACAGTTTTTAAATTCACGACAAAGTATTTTGTCATTGCTAGGTCTACAATGTATTTGAGTAACTTAATGTAAAACGATGAGTGGGTGAGTTTACAGTCGGGTATATTCTCCTTCCTGTCGTCGACTACCACATGCTATTTGCTGCAGATCAAGAATTAGTCAGGAGGCAGTCTGAAGAGGACTGAATATTATTTCGTTTCTTCTGATCCGTACTCCTCACACAGTGACGTAGTAGGCCCTGTCAAAATTTAAAATGAATAACAGTTGATAATGATATAGGTTTTCGCTGCTTTTTTTGGTCCGTTTGACAAAAATGTTGATTCGGTCTCCGAAACGATTTAAGAGCATCGGTCGCAACATTTTGCACTTTTATCATTCAAATTCATTCCGTCTAACGCGTGTGCCAAGATTTATTCTCATTCGTCGTCAATTTCCGAGTAGGTTCCAATGTCAAAATCCACGTGCTTGTCCCCTCGGATAAGGCATCATTTTTTAAGTCCTTCAGATAGGATTGAATTTTAGGTCTACTTGTTACTCATCAGCATTCTGTACTTGAATTACTTAGAGGTCAAATAAAATTAATAAAACAACAAAGAAAAATAAAAGCAAAACATATCATTCATAGCTGTTTTATAGTTTTCATTCTTGATATAATATATATTTTACAGTTCGAATTACAGGGTTACGAACTACATAACTGGCGCACAAGTGTGAGAACGAGGTATGGAATTGTTCTAAACCATGTTGTGAGAAGCCATTACAAGATTTGGGAAGGTAATGTTATCATTACATTGAATCACAATCTAATTAATTAACAATCTGTCTAAAGTGCTCTAAGTTAGTCTTCAACATTGATAGTAACCAGTTCTTGCCTTTTACTGTCGACCTTTTTTTCAAGAGTCGTTCTTCTGTATTTATAAACTTTGATTCCCTTTCCCCGACATTTTGATAACGGGGGGGGGGGGGGGGGGGGGGGGGGGGGGGGGGGGGGGACATTGTGCTCTACAAAAAAGTACTGCTTATTTACATTAAAAGCCTGGGCACGAAACAAAATTACACATAATTGTCTAGGTAGCTATATCGTATGGCCACCAAGACTAGTTAAAAGCAACCCAAATATAATGAGGTAAATTGATATTATGTCGAATTTTTGCAATAATTTTGAAAGCATCTGCTGGAAATTTCTTTAATATGCTTTTGTAACACAATCATACAACAAAAACTAAAGCAAAACAAATGTGACAATATTATACAGGTGAAGAACAAGAAGAAAATTCCCCCGGTTACGACTTATCACTTTGTTGTAACGTCCTTCATCTGTTCGGCATTTTGTTTTAATGCGGATAGCCAAACAAGGGTACATCTTATACTTATCTGAACAATCGCATTTGTCTTTCT